TTTTACAATTAAAAAAAAATTAAAATAAATATTTTTAAAAGTAGTTTTTAGTCGATATGAGTTATTGCTAGATAACTAACAGGTTCCAATAAATTTTTTAGCCATAAAATTTTAAGTATGAAACTTAAAAACAGCAAAAAATAATATAGACTATTTTTTACAAATTACCTTCAAGTGAGAAACACTTATACTTTCATTTTATGGAACACTCAATCATTTTTTGAAGCTTTTTCTTGATAATTTAGAGCGATTTATCTTAACAACTCGCTCCGCGTAAATTATCGCTCTTAAAAAATTTTTCACACCATAAAAATATTTTCCCTTTAAATTATCTATATTATTAAGAGAATAAGCGAAATTTTGTGGCCAGGGTATTTACATGATAAAATGGGTTTTTATGGTTAAATTTGGTATCGTTGGAAAAGTTTTGACCTGGAGTTGTACCTTTTCATGATTTCATATCATTCCCATCAATAGTCAATTTATGGTGATAGGTATTTAGGCTGCATTTGAAAATGCTCTATCTCTAGATACATAATCAAGAAATGACCGTGTATCTCGGGAACTAATGACATTTTTAAAGATATAAGCTCATCCCGATGTTACATTCATCAAGACCTTTCATTTAAGTACCCACATCATTTTTTCTATATATTTATATATATTATATATATATATATATATGAAAAATATATCAAAATGCGAGTACCCACATCAATTTTTCATATATTTTGTATATTTATATATATTATATATACGTATATATGAAAAATATATCAAAATGCATGTGGGTACTCAAATGAAAGCTCTTGATGAGTGTAACATCCGGATGAGTTTATATCTTTAAAAATGTCAATAGTTAAAAAAGTACAGTACAATTTAAAAAAGTCATTATTTAATAAAGCAAAATTTTATTTATTTATAGCTCACAAGGTGCTAGTACCCTAGTATTTTAATAATAATCATTTTTATTTTAAATCTGACTCCTCCGTTATTTATTTAAAATAATCAATTCAAACAAAACTCCAAAAAATAAATAAATAAAAATGATCTGAGGAATAAAATCAGCGGATTTATTATTAAATATTGAAATTTATGAACCAGCTTAGCTTTTTAATGTGAAATCAATTTAAAATAGGGATAATCGTCAGTCGATAAAATTATAACTCAGGGCCTGAATCCATATTGGGATTCACCGGGAGCAAAAAGTTTAAAAAGAGATAAAACCTCACCCCTAATCGCTCCTCTGTTAAAAAATAATATATTAGCAATCAAAGGATTAGCGTTTGAGTTTAAGTGAGAATAAAAGCACGTTGACCTTGTCACACGCACACGCACAGAAATACTTAACACGTAGAGTATTTTAATGCACACAGCTCATTCTTACAATCGGCCTCGACTTTTATTGCTCAGAGCGTCGTCTCTTTACTTGACAATACGCTCATTCGCGTATAGTTCTCTGAACTCAAATGTATTATACATAACAATAATAATAACAATAATAATAATAATAGCAACAAACTAAATAACATTGGCGCCGTGTTATCGTAATCGTATGAGATGACTTCCCGGTAGCGAGTGCTCAGAGTGTTGGTCGTCTCAAAACCGAGAACGAGGAGAAGAATTGAACAAGAAGGACATTACGTTCCCAGAATATTATGCACTTTCATTTCTTTTCAGTCATTCAAGATTAACATTATTCATCCGTGGCCATATCCAGGTTGTTAGTATTATTATTATTCCGCAACATTAATAATCATCCATTTTTTTCTGAAATTAAAAAAATAAATTTCTTTTTTGAAGATTTCTTGTTTGAATATTGAAAAAAACACCTTATTAAAAGGCAATAATGTCCTAAAATTTATTTTTTATTATATTTTTGCAAATAATGATCTGAGACCGACTACATCAAATAGATATTTAAAGACATCTACCTAAATAATAGGATTTGTAACAGATGAATGTCATTTGATGATAAAAGCTAAAAATTAATTTATTTTTAATTTTCCAAACTCCGAAATAAATTGTAAAAAGTATTGAAAGGTGACGAATAATAGCTTAAATTGAAGATAATTATGTGAATTTTAGCATAAATTCAAGCTATCTTTTACGGCTTAAAAATTATTTAAAGAAAAAGAGCTGAAATACGTTGATTGAAAAATTTTTGAAAATTTTTAAATTCACGGAAATAATTAAAAAAATCATCAAAGCTAGACAAATAATAGTTTAAATTGAAGGTAATTAAATGAAGTTTAAAATAAATTTGATAGATTTTATCTATCTTTTACACCTGGAAGATTATTTTCATAAAAAATACAAAATTTTTGCAATTCGCAAAATTATTATGCTGAGTTATTATCTAATCTGATGACATTAAAATTCTATATTTTAAAATAAATAAATAAATTAAATTAATTATAGTGCAATATTATATTATATTATGTACTCACAAAAATTGCTCTCTTGTAAAAACTGTATTTACTATGTCATTGAAATTGCCATTTGGCCTGTGCCTTGGCATTAAATAAACAAAATTTAAATCTAAAATTCAAAATTTTTTGTAAATGAAAAAAATTTTCAAATACCCACAACTCGTAAACTAACCGGCCGATTTTGCTCATCTTTCAACTTGATCTTAGTATTGATCCACAGAATAAGCCCACAAAATTTCATAAAGATCGGTTGAGAACTGTGGGTGCAATCTTGCTGACATGGCGCGTTATAGCGAAATAACAGATATTATGATAAAATTATCCTAAAATTACAACATGAGACCGGCTACAATAGTTAGATTTCTATAGAAATCTATCTAATTATAAAAATAATTTATCAAAGAATTGGTAAAATAAATAATTTATTTAGATGGTTGATGAAGCCCCGGTGGTTGCTGTCAATTTGATAAATAGATAATCGATTAGCGTGTGAGAAAATAGACAGCGAAATTTATAAAATGATAACTTCCGGCTGCATTGGGATAAAACGTGTCTATCAAGCTAATATATAACCGGAGTGTAATATTAATAATGCAATATATTAAATAGTTGTTGTAAGATATATATTTATAAATTTATAAAGATATATAACGACTTAAAGAAACTGAAAGAGAATGAGAGTGATGAGGGACAAGATTTCCGTAAATAATATATATAAATTACCGACACTTGCTTTCAGTCTGCTTATTAATTGGTTGTAGCTACGTTGAAAAGCAATGTCTATCAGAGAAGAGCCAACAGTGTATTGAGTGGGCGTAAGAGTTTATTTAACAGGAGAATTTCTCCTGGCTAATCACTCCATTCATCGATCATACCTTTATATTTATGTTATTATGTTATACCGGTCTATTGAAGAAGACAACTACTAATGTAATCCAAGAGTCTCTGCTCAGTACCCAGCCTAAAACAAAGATGTTATGTTTCATTAATATCATACGCTACAATAAAATTATTATTATTATTATTTATCATACCCCGAGACACTGCCAGTGGAGAAAGCTGATTTAAATTTCCAGTTACTTAATGGCCCTATTATAGGACTTTAATTGTCGTAATTACCTTTATCAGAACGGCTGAAATATATTTATCTTAAATTTTAATGGAGATTTTATTTTATTAGAACATAGAAAAGGATGTTAATTCTTGTTGCTTACCTTGAGGACTCCTTAAACTTAAAGCGATACCTAACTGGATTCAAGTGCTATTCTACGGTGTGAATAATTATTTTAAACAACTTTGCTGATAAGATTTATTCTATCTTTTAACACAAATTTAAATTACTTTTATCAAAATAATTTTTTTTTAAAAGCATGCCTATTAAAATAATTCAACTAAGTGTTTATAGAAGTATAAATCCAACCCGTTTTACGACCTAGAACTTGTTACAAATAGACTATAAAAAGTAATTGTGGATTTAGCAAACTAAGATTTTAAAAAAATTCACCTGTAGATTTTTTAATTTTCTAAATGTGTATTTTTTTATTATTCAATTTTCTATTTTTCTAAAAATTCATTAATGTCTGCTAGATTTATAATCATAAACTAAACATGATACTAAAATTAGCCGACGTTCAATAATTTTTGTATTTTTTTCAACAATTTAATTGCAAGTAAAAAGATACTTAAAGTAAATTGCACGCATCATTTTTCAAATCTTCTACATGTAAAATTTTTTAATAAAAAAAATTATAAAAATTTTTAGATGTCGGCTAATTTAATTTTCATAAATAAACATACATGTAACAATTTTTTATTTTTTGAATCTATAAAAATCTATATTATTAAAAGAATGTCATTCATTAGAATGAATGTCAGTTTCATGTCATTCTTACGAATAGTCAATTTATGATGATAAGTATTTAGATAAATATTTATATATATGTATGTATGAAAAATATATAAAAATGCATATGGGTACTCAAATGAAATCTCTTGATGAGTGTAACATCGGGATGAGCTTACATCTTTAAAAATATCAATAATTAAGAAAGTACAGTACAATTTAACAAATATCTTGTGAATTATTAACATTTTTAAAGATATAAGCTCACTCCGGTATTATACTCATCAAGACCTTTTATTTGAGTACCCACATCAATTTTTCATAAATTTTATATATTTAAATATATATATGTATATATGAAAAATATATAAAAATGCATGTGGGTACTCAAATGAAAGCTCTTGACGAGTATAACATCGGGATGAGCTTATATCTTCACAAACGTGAATAGTTAAGAAAGTACAGTGCAATTTAACAAAAGTCATTATTGAACAAAGCAAAATTTAATTTATTTATAATTTACAAGTTACAGCAGTCACATAGTGACTAGTAGGTTGTTAGTTATAAGTAAAAAAATATTGGTAAATAATAAAACTAGAAATTTTCAGAGGTCGGCTGAATTAATGATGGTATTATCATTAAATTTCCCCAAAAAACAAAACAAAAAAGTTATTTTAAACACATTATTTTCTTATAAAAATAAAAAATCAACCCCATACAAAAAATCAATTAATTGAATCGAGTTCGTCCAAGAAAGTGCGACATTTGTCTTTGAGAACCTTGACAGCTTGCAGGAACAAAACTCCAGGCTCGACAGCGCCAATCGACTCTACATTAAATATATAATGATCCGCAATACGTTCAAGCTTGACACTATTTTTCAATGACTCATGCCGGAATACGTTTCTCGAGCAGCTGTCGTACCGTGGATCTTTGACTCGCGCTTCAAGTTCGCCTCTTTTTTTGTTTTTCACCAGTTCAATGACCCCTTCACTGAAGCAGCTTTTGAGGAGTTCTGCTTCGGGTCCAAAGATGGGCCTTTTGAGGGTGATTGCCGGCATCAGACGGTAGCTGGCAGTCGCGACAGGCGAGAACTTTGCGTGGTCCTTTCCAATTCCCTTAACAGCGTAGAGTATCACATCGATTTCCTGCCCGGGGACCATTTTGGCGATCAGAATGTCATCCTCCAGCATTCCGAACAATTCTTCGCCATTCGGGTACATCTCAGACTGCCTATGCAGAGGAATCCACTTGACGGCGTTGCTTTTGACCCTGCTGTGGTGGTAAATGTCCTCAGGAAGTCGCGAGTCTTTTATCGGCTTAGTATTCTTTGAGCAAATTACCTTTAATTCGTACTTGAGAGTGGTTCTGTCGTTCATCTCAGCTTCGTCGTCGAGTCTTTCATCAGCTGTGCAATACTCGAACAGCGAGGGGTCGGCTTTCAGCGGCAACAGGCCCAGTCTGTGAGCTAAAACCTCATCCTGGAGCAGACTGGTGTTCATCAAGATGTGAACCTTCTCGATGGCCATCGACGGCACCTCACTCAGCAAAGCTCGACGGAATGCATTTGCCAATGCTGGTGTACAACCAATCATGTCGAACTCTAGCTCCCGTTTGTCATCCGACTGTCTCACTATATTCACTTTTAAATTTTTACGGAATCTATTTATGTCCCATTTGTTGAACTGAAGATTTGAGTATTCAGCAGCATTTGGAACTCCGTATTCTTCTATTGATATTCTTTGGACTTTCTCCATTTTTTTATTTCACCTATTTTTAATTAATTTGGTAGGTTATATTATTGTTTTCAATAAAATATTAATAATTATTTTAGTACTCACCTTTTGTTGAGGATTTTTATTTTTTTTTATTTATAATTGTTCACTTGATAATTGTTATGATTATTTTTAGGTAGTATTTTAAAATCCCATAATAAATAATAATAAATCCCATAATAAAATTGAGATGAAATGTATGTGAAACCAATTTATTCGTAATGTGATTGGTTGAAAATATTTATTCTCATTCTGATTGGTTAAAAGTTAATATAATATACATAAACGACACATAAATATATCATGACAATAAATATGAGGCGCGCGCTTGCGCGCGAAAATTAAATTCTAGTCCCATAATAAAATTGAGATGAAATGTATGTGAAACCAATTTATTCGTAACGTGATTGGTCGAATATATCATAAGCATGAAAATATATGCAAACTCCATAGTCAGGGCGCGCACTTGCGCGCAAAAATTAAATTCTAGTATATATTAAAACCTAAATTATTGACGGCGTAAGACACGAGCACGTGTTAGGTTTATTATTGAAATGCTTTTAGCCAGTGCACTACCTTGTGATTTCAGCGGAGGCTAATGCGCATGAGCGTGTACTCAAGTCAACTAACTGGCCAATCAGAGCTTTTTAATTTTCATAGAAACTAACGTTGTTGAAATTGATCAATTATTTATATATTTTTTTTTTTTATTAAAAATACAATATTAAATTAATAAAATATAAATTTTTAGAAATTTTTAAAATCCTCAAAATAAATTGTATTATCAATAAATTATTAAAAAAAACTTTATAAATAAAAGAACAATTACATTTAAAAAGACATTTATGTGATGCTATGATATATTTAGATAATAAAAGAGATTGTTTTTATATGAAAATTAATTTATGATATTAATGTTAGGCTGTCACTTGACCAATTTTTGAATTTAATTTAACAATTAAATTAATTCTAAAAAATTATTTTTAATAAATTGCATTTTTAATTTTTTAAAATTTCAAAATGTCCATTTTTTTTGTTATAATTTATTTGCTAACAAATGTTCTAAAAATTATGAAATATATTTTTATATGAGAAAAAAAAATTAACATGTAGAAATTTAAAAAAATTAAAAATGCAATTTTTTAAAAATAATTTTTTTAACAAATTTGTTTGTTAAAAATAATTTTAAAGTGGCGGCTAACTTTAATGTTATTAATTTATGATATTAAAGTTAGCCGACATTCAACAATTTTTAATTTTTATTATTAATTAAATTAAGACTAAAATAATATTTTTAAAAAATTGCACGTGTAATTTTTCAAAATTTCTGTATGTGAAATTTTTTCTTTTAATTTTCTTTAAATAATTTTTACATTAAAACAAATTATAAAATTTTAACAAATTATAAAAATTTTTTAGATGTCGGCCAACTTAATTTTCATAATTAATTTAGCAGATATTTGATAATTTTTTTAACAAATAAATTGGAACAAAAAAAAATTGACATGTAGAAATTTAAAAAACTAAAAAATGCAATTTTTTAAAAATAAATTTTTAGAGAAAATTTGTTGGAAAAAAATTAAAAAATGGTCGAAGAACTGCTAACTTTAATATCATTTAATTTATGTATCTAACCGAGTTCATTTTAAGCCGTAATGAAATAAATAATAATAATAAAAAACTTTATAAGAAAATTGGAAAAAAATTAATTTTATTTATTGTATAGAATTAAAAAATTTTTAAAATACAAAACCAAAACAATTTCAAGTGTAACATTAAATTCCCATTAAAAATGATTAAATAACTTGGTTATTTTATTGTAGGCAATAAAAATCGTTATTTGAACATTTCTATAACACATTACACTTAATTGCTATTGCTGATAAATTTGTAATTACGATAAAAATGATAAAATAAACTTTATTAAAAATCCTACATAACAAATGACTGTTGTGCAAAAATAAATAACACTTTTATTTTTGTTAAATTGTTGAATATTTAAATTAAAGTGTTGTTTGACTAATTTAAATTATTAATATTATCAACTTCATTATAATAAATGAGATCGGCAGAAAGATATATAATCATGAATGAAGAAGTCGAATAAAAGCAGTTGGCGGCTGAAGCAGAGTTAAGTCTTTTATTCCTATCTTCAACTTCACTTGAATCTGCATGACTGTATAAGTAGGTAATACAAACTACCAGTTACCAGTTTACTTGCAGAACATTTATTTATTCCTTTACTTCATTTCTCTTTTAGTGGCTGAAGGGAATGTTTTCTTCAGTATCTTCGGTAACTTCTTCTCTTACACCAAGATGAATATTAAAATAAATGTGTATATACATGTACATATGGAAGTTATAATTTTTTCAACTGTTTATCTTTATTATACGTTTGTGGTTTTTTATCTTCGAGTGGATATATATAAATATATAATACAGCGTTAATGGTATTTAGGCTTGGGATAATTCACTGACGCGCGTTTATTAATGCCACTGATGCAGTGAGAAGCTAATGTAATGTAAGAGAGACCCGCAGTGCGCTTGCATACCTCATTAAATTACGGTACCCAATGCACCTACGTGTTGCAAAGGTCGAATGTGTACATATAAGAAGAAGATGAGGATGAATATAGAAGATAGATATTATAAGAGAGTAGGAGAACAACCAAAGAAGAAAAGACCACTGGAAGAGTGTAGAAGAGTAGAGGGCCAACAGCTAACAACTTCAAGGGTCAACCAGTCGATGGACGTTTCTGATTTTAATAATAAATATATTTTATATTTATATTTATAAATAAGAGCTTTGCGTAAATTAGGGCCCATAATTTCTTAGCTAACAAATTTATTTCTTAAATAAAAATAAAAAATATTCTCATTCATTTTTTCATTTGATAAATTAACGTCTTTAGTCATAATTTTTAATATTTATAGCTCTTTTTTTTTTTATCAAAGATTTATTTTGCTTCAAGATTAAAAATGATTTTTCTTTTTTTTAATAATATCTGTAAATTTTTATTAAATTTTAAGTATGCGTAAAAAATTTATTTTTAAAAAAATATACAATGTTGTATTAAAAAATTTTATTTTTTTTAGCTGAAGAAATAAAAATTTTTTTCACAGTAATTTTTTGGTTGAAAAAAAAATTTATAGGTTCAGGAAAAAATAATTTTGGAGGAAAATTCGCAAGTTGTCTATCTAAATTTTTTTTTTTCAACTAGAAAATTGTTTTGAAAAAAATTTTTATTTTTTCAGCTAAAAAAATAAAATTATTTAAATTTTCAAAAAATTAATTTTTTATTAGAAAAATGCCTATCTTTTTTAAAAGAAATTTTTTCTCTCAGTGTAGAGAATACTTAAAAATTTATTTTAGCAAAAAAAAAAAAAAATTATCATGACTTCAATTTACTTTTCAGAATATCAAGTGACAAAATGATTGCGTAAAAACATTGCACACATAATATATATAGGGTAGAAATCCGAGAAAAATGAATTGAAATGGAATTTCTTAAGCGAAAAAATAACCACATGTTTTATGTATGTTAATGTATAAAATCCATGAAAAAAAGAGGGAAATATATAGACGTGACAGGAGGATGAAAAAGAATAAAGGTCGGTATTGCTTGGACAAGCATACAAGCATACAAACATACAAGTAGACTCTGCCGGCTGTTGGCTGGCGGTTCCGCAATAAGACCCGGGAAATACGTTCCACCCACTTGGGATCTCAGATCTGTGAAGTTGTTTTTTTATTAAAGTTGCGTCTCTTTTTCACCTCATCGAGTCCCCACTAGAACACACATATAAGTATCGTTATTCTTATTCTTTCTCGTGAAAGTCCTCTAAATATATATAGAGAGTGGAGGCAGATGCCAACCGGGTTATAAAAGTGGCAAATTCTCCTTCTTGTACTTATTCCTTAACGCCTTGTACTTACGCCTTATTCCTTAGCTCTTTTATGCTCAACTGAGGAACTGACCAACTGAGAATGTAAATAAAAGTAACTTACCGAGAATGAAACACGCTTAAATAACAAACAAATAAAATAAAATAAATTATCCTCGTAACTTTTATTTCTCCTTTTATTTGATCGGTGCGGGTCTCTTCCTCTAGTGAAAAACTTGCGTAACCGTTCTCTTACTCTTGACTCTACTCTGTGCTCTGTGCAGTATAGTACCAAGAGGACAAATTTCATAATACCATCCCGGACACAGTTGAATCCCCGGACAAACACTTCTTAAGGGACTGGACTCTAGCTAGTATTACATATTCAACTTCTCAATATATATTTCAATAGTAAAAGATTTTTTATCCGACGCGGTCTTTGGATCCAAGATCCAACCCAAAGGACTTCCGCCAATAATCTCAATAAAATTCATTTTTTTTTCTTCTTTCACAAATTATTAACCTTTTTCTGCTTATTGCACGCCTTAAAAGCGAAGCGTTGAGGTAGTGCTGTACTCTCGACATTTCAAAAAAAGCAGCACTGAAAAAAAAATTAACTTGATTCGAGAGAGAAATTCTTGAACCAAGAAAATAATCTTCAAGAACATTTTTTTTTCTGTGAGTTTTCTCAAAACTGAAATTGATTTTTTTTTTTATTTATTTCGCACTTACAGGTTAATCTGAGTGTACTTATATCGAGTCAAATAATTTGTAAGACACATAAAATATATTTCAATAACAATTATTTTGTTTAACATAATAAATAATAAAATTAAAAATAAAATATTAGGCGATGAAATAAAAAATAGTCCACAAGAAATTGAGTCCTTATTTCCCACTAAGAATTAAAGTATTAAAAATAATTTTTTCTGGACGTCCGTATGTCTTTGTTTATGGATTGGTGTATGTGGCAGGGAAATTGGTCGAAAAAATGATTGTACCGGAATGAGCGTTCAATTTACTGTCGTTAAATTATTATTTATAAAAAACTAATATATGACCGCACAGAAAAAAAAAAATTAACTTGATTCAAGAGAAAAATTCTTGAACCAAGAATAAAATTTTGAAGAGGGTAATTGTCTGGAATCAAGACGAAAAATTCTTGAATTAAGTCAAGTTTCCTTAAATCAAGAAAAATTTTTTTAAATCAAGAATTTTTCTACTCAAGCCAAGAATATTGAACTCTTTAAAAATATATACTTGATTCAAGAACATTTTTTTTTCTGTGTGTGTATTTTTTATATATCTATACATTTTATTACAGTATTTTTTTTCTCACCTTAGAATTAAGGCGCCACTAAATCATAGCAAATTTTTCTGTTTTTTATTATTTTGCTTTTTATATTTTATTTCAATCAATTTTATAGTGAAAAATGAGATTATGAGGCGTGCACTTATGTATTTTCCAAACTTTTTGTTTGTAGTCTGAGTCGGTAATAATTTCTGAAGAAATAAAAATAAAAAATATGTATTATTATTGAAATAACTGGATTGAGAAGATTAAAAATGAAATAATAGATTCATAGAGCGAATAATTAGATAAGTTATTAGTTTATGTCTGTAATTAGAAGAGTAATTATTTTAGCAAAGTTACCAGAGAACAGAGCGACTAGACGGAAATTTAATGAACGGTGAAATGAAGATTGCGTTTAAAGTGTTTGAGCAATAAAACCCCTTGATTAGACATACCACGTGCACAAGTACTTACCAAGAGAATAATAATATTGTAAGATTTGTAATTGCGAATTCTCCTCTAAATTATAAATTGGCCATGGAATCAGAGTTTTGCAAGTTTCCGAGGATAAATTCACCAGTCACCAGGGAGGAAATTAAATTCATCATCCATGTTTATGTTACTAGTACGTACATCTGGGGCGAAGAAATAAAGTAGCTTAAAGTACTTACACTACTTGTTTGCATTATTATCTGAACTGTTGAGTATGGTAGAAGTGGTACGGCCACCACGGGCGATCTCTTCTCTGGTCTCCGACTACCGGGTAATCGTGCATCATCCAATTTAAACCCCTTACCACCTCTCTTCTCTTTTTCTTCTTGCTCTTGTTCTTCCTCTTCTTAACTTTGTGATATCCAAAGATATTATCGTCACGCGAACCCCGACTGACATGCCCAGAGTCAACACACACACGAACACACCTGACAGATTTAACAATTAGATCTTTGAATTTTTACATTAAAATTATTAACATGCTTTTTATTTTACTTACGTATACTTTCACGTTTATTGATTATTTTATTTTTTATTTTTTATTACCGTTAAGATTTTTATCGGAATACTGATGGCTTTATTGATTCAAATTATACAGTCAATAATTTTTTATCGCCATTAAATTATAGTTATTTTCTTTAGATCTTTCGCACGCTACTCAATTTTAATAATAATCATTTTTATTTCATTTTTAAAATTACTATATTAATATTTATATTGTGAAGAAATAGAAAAAACATATGAGGTGTTTATTAATAAGAAAATAGTATAAGTACTATATTATTCTCAAGTTGATGGTTCGTTATCCAACACTTTAGCTCGCGGGTCCATTTCAATAGTAAGTTTATTGGCTGGACGTAACAACTCTAGCGCCGGCTGAAGTTTATTGCCCAGATATACTTTTCTTCCCTAGAGAGTCCTCTTTACATTATCTTCGGTAACTTATCCACCTACTACGGCAAATCCTCTAAGTACATAGCCTCCATTTTAAAACGTTTGGTTATATATTTACTGAAGTAAAGCATCCGCTTTCAATACTTAACATTTATTGTTATATATATATATATATATATCTATGTAGATCAACATTATTACTGTAAATAACCATGATACTGAAATGAACAGACATCTGTTAATTTTTTTTATTTTTGTAAAAATTAAATTATTGTGAGGAAATTTTAATAAAAAAATTTCGCTTCTAGAAGTTGAAAAAAATTATGAATGAAAATTAATTTAGCAGATATTTGATAATTTAAAAAATTTTTGTAACAAATAAATTATGACCCAAAAAAAAAAATTATTTAAAAAATTGACATGTAGAAATTAAAAAAAATAAAAAATGCAATTTTTTTAAATAATTTTTTGGAACAAATTTTTTTTGTTAAATAAAATTAAAAAATTGTCAAGTGACGGCTAACTTTAATGTCATAAATTATGCTGACAGCGGTCAATTTTCAAAATTTTTACAATAAAAAAATATGAAAATAAAGTTTAGCCGACATCTAAAAATCTTTATAATTTTTTTTTCAATAAAAAAATTATTACAAAATAATTAAAATAACAATTTTATTTGTAAAAAATTTCACAAACTTTAATTTAAGTGCAATTTTGAAAAAATGTTTTTTTAGTGTTATTTTCATAAATAAAATTAAATTAAAAAATAAAAAATGTCGGCTAACTCTAGTATGGTTAAAAAAATGCTTTAAAAATTTTCCACTAATAGTTTTTTTTTTTCCATTTTTACATGTGAAATTTTTATTTTATAATACTAAAGTTAGCCGACGTTTTTAATTTTTTTTCATTAATTAAATTAGAACAAAAAAATATTAATTAAAAATTGTACTTACAGTTTTTCAAGTTTTTTACAAATGAATTTTTTTTTTTGTAATAATTTTTTCAATTAAAAAAAAATTCTAAAAATTTTCAGATGTCGGCTAACTTAATTTTCATAAATTTGTTTTGATAGTAATTTAATTGCTATAAAATTCTAAAAATATTATCTAATAGCTATCAACCTCAGTGTCATTTAATAGATAACAATATTAATAATAATTACAATAATAATAAAATACTTCTAAAAATTTTCTCTAATTTTTTTTTAAATTTTCACAATTAGAATTTTGCTATAAAATTATAAAAAAATTTCTAATGTCTGTCAATTTTAGTTTCTTCAATATTATTATATTAACTATAAAATATTTTTGAAGATAAATATTATAAAGTGATACATTGACATTTGAATATTTTCTCACGGTAGAATATATATTGAATAGAATTGTTTTAAATAATAAATCTCTAGCATAGGAGATTTATAAATATATATAAAAATGGAAATGAAAATGAAAATATAAATATAAATGGAGAGTGACTTGTTGGTTTGTTGATAATTTTTACTTTAGATGAATAAATAAAGCTGAGGCTGTTGTGAGTAAAATGTTAGAGATGAGATTTAACAACAATTCATCCGGAAGTCGTATTGTATTAAGAATAAAGAACAACTAAACTCACAACTCCACAACACTCCTGACAACACTACATTAGATGCCTCTATTTCATTTTAATATTTAACTATCACTAGATAAAACATAAAACATAAAACGCCCCCACGTTATTATTTTGTTTCAGAGTACCATACGGTCTACTAATGGAATGTCGACGGCGCTCTCGTGAGATCCAACGTAAATTTATTTTAAAAATTAAATTTTATTAAAAAATCACCCAGAGTACTGTACGATGGCTTTCTAACTCAAGTTAGAAATGGTGGATGTGTGTGTAATGGGTGTAATGCCGATTATGTCCATGTAAGCGGGGTACAGGTGGCTGCCGAGGTTCCTCAGATGGAACAATGCTCACGACCCAGGCCCACAATGGAGATCATAATCAACTGGCTGACGTCCAATGACTTATAGCCCGCTCTCGGGCTCGTCTGGGCCCAAACAATAGATCCGCGACCAACAATAACGCCAAAGGGAAATGTTTCGCGGAAAAACAACCTAAATTATGAGTTTGTCGGTACGTGCATACTTCTAGCTTTGCCGCCTGTCATACAATCACAAACCCAGACTTTGACGACTTATTTTTCAGCCAAAAATCTTACTCATGGATTAATGATAGTAAAATTAGCAGACATCTGACAAATTTTTTTATTTTTATCACAAATTCATTATAAAATAAAAATATTAAAAAACAATTTTTTACAATAATTTAGTATGAAAATTAATTTAGCAGATATTTGATAATTTAAAAAATTTTTTTAACAAATAAATTATGGCAAAAAAAAAATGGTATTAAAAAATTGACATGTAGAAATTTTAAAAAATTAAAAATGCAATTTTTTAAAAATAATTTTTCGGAAATAAATTTATTTGTCAATAAAAACTAAAAACTAATGAAGTGACTGCTAACTTTAATGTCATTAATTTAGTTGGTATAGACATCCAAAAAATTAACAGATGTTTATTAATTTTACTATCAATTATATTTCTAAAATTTTTATTACAAATATTTCTCTGCTTTTCAGTGTAGATTTTTTAAACTAAGTGTTTTTGATAGAAAAATACACTTTAAACCTCATTGAATCATTATTTTTGTAACCTAAATTTTAGTTTATCAATATCAATTAATGATATCTATTTCAAAATTTGATAACATCTCAATTAGTATTGGATAGAAAAAATTCATTTCATAATAGAGGATACATTAAATACTCGACAGTAGAATTTTTAATGTTATAGTAATAAAAATAAAACAATTACTCGTATTTCAGTTGATATTGTGAAGATAAAACAAGTTTTAGTATAAAATCAAACGTTTCAGGTTTCGTTAAATCGTATAAAAATGTTAAAAGTTAATTCATGGATAGTATCACTTATTGTGATAGTAATTTCTAACAAATGTTCTTCTTTAAACGAAACTAGTCTTGATGTTACATGCGCTTTAAAGCATACTCTCGTAAGTATTTTTAATTACATTGTTAATTTTATTTAAACAATTATTTTTGACAATATTGAACAGTGCAATCCCAATTTACCACGTCCATGTTGCAATTCAATAGATCATTGCCAACGAACATGGCCAGACAATTACTTCCGATGCATCGGGGACATTATTCTGAGTGATTATATAATTCAAAAATTAATATTGTTGTAAAAAAAGATCAATTTAAGCAAATTATTTATACTTACACTTAGGCGGGCTAGGAAAATCTTGTGAGCTGGATGAAGATTGCGATAAAATAAAACACTCAAAATGTTCTAAAGACGGCAAGTGCATCTGCCGAATGAAAACAGTAAAAACCGATCCATGGACCTGCGCACCAATTTTGGGAGGATTTTGTTGGAACAATGAACCTTGTGCTGCTGATAATGCTACTTGTATCAACAGCGAATGTAAATGCAAGAAAGGTTATTCTAGGCGGCCGAACAACCAATGCGTACGCGGTGGGTAATTTTTTTACTATAAAAAGTAATTTAATATTTATTATTTAATAATTTTATTATTTTTAATAGATGTTTTGGATACTCACTGTGAAAACGATGATGTATGTAATATTGTAAAGTTTGCAAAATGTTCTGAAGATAAAGTATGCGCTTGTACATCCAATACTACTGCATTATCTTCAACTTATTGCGCTCCTATTTTTGGCGGATTTTGTTGGGAAAATGACGAATGCCTGACCCCTCATTCAATTTGCTTAAACAACAAATGTCAATGCGACAAAAAATATAACCTATATAATCCTGAAAAAGGATGTGTATCAGGTAAAACAAGTATTTTATTTTCTTATTGATTTTATAAATTTTTTAACAGATAAATTATAGCAAGAAAAATTTGTTTATGAAATTCCATCTTTAGAAGCACTAAAAAATTATAAATGCTATTTTTTTAAAATAATTTTCTTGACCTAATTTATTATTCAAGAAAAATTTAAAAAGTCATCAAATGTCCGCTAATTTCAATATAATTTTTTATTTTATTGTCGTGTTTTAGTTTGTGGAAATAATGCGTGTTACCGTGGGATACTCACTATGAATAAAATTTCAAATGCAATATGTACTGGAGTAAACGTCTGCGTATGTTTCCAACAATATCCATTCGAGGAAACTTATCCATGTACACCAGAAGATAAAGTTGGCTGTAAGGCTGATAACTTGTGTGTAGTCGAAAATTCTAGGTGCATTGATAATTTTTGCCAGTGCAAACCACAGTTTGGGTATAGATCCAATCAATGTCTACCTCGTAAGTTTTATTGTTAATAGTATAAATTTACAATATTTAAATTAAAGTAGTTTTAATTTTCTTAATTTTATTCCAGTTGTTAATTTAAATGACGTCTGTTTGAATAATGATGACTGCAGTCAAGTAAATCATACAATCTGTTCAAAAGATAAAGTATGTAAATGCGATGAAAACTATGTACCTGCGAATCAAACTTCATGTAAACCAATTTATGGTGGATTTTGTTCAAAAAATAAAGACTGCAGGAACATTAATGGAGCGTGTATTAACTCTAAGTGTGGATGCATGCCATTTACAGTTAAATTTTCAGAATATTTGTGTGTAGTACGTGAGTAAAAAAATTATAAAAAAATTTATGAACTTTTTAGCAATCCGTATTTTTTAGGTTTTAAATTAATTTTTTTTTTTAATTTTATTTGTAGCTCAATTAGGGATTTCATGTAAGAGTAATAAGGATTGTAGAAAAATGTCAAACAGTATGTGCTCCGACAATGGAAAATGTGAGTGCAAAAGGAATTTTGGAGAATACAACATGACCGCATGCGCCCCACTTCTTGGACAATTTTGTTTTGAAGATGGACTATGCGCTCCACAGCATTCCAGTTGTAAAAATGAAGAATGTGTTTGTAATGATGGATTTTCAGAGTATTCTAGAGAAAAATGTTTACCTCGTAAGCCATATTATACTGAACAATATTCAACCTATCAACATTCATTAATTTGTTACTTTTGTATTTATGCAGACTACTTAAGGATGTACTGTGAAGATGATGATAATTGCAAGTACATAGCAAATTCAAGGTGTCAGAAAGACATAAATATTTGTACTTGCAAAAATGGTCATGGAAAGATTAATGAGACAGCTTGTGCGCCGCTTCTTGAAGAATCATGTTTTGAAAATCAATTGTGCGCCCCACTTCATTCCAGTTGTAAAAATGATAAATGTAAATGTAACGATGGATTTATACAAAATTCTAAAGAAAAATGCTTACCTCGTAAGTTTAAATAAATTGGACAATATTAAATCAATGAACATTCATTAATTTGTTTATTTTCTGTATTCATTCAGACTACATAAGGATGTACTGTGAAGATGATGATAATTGCAAATATATAGCAAATTCTGAGTGTCGAAATGACATAAATATTTGTGCTTGTAAGAGTACTCATAAACTTTTTAACCACACAACTTGCGCACCTTTGTTGGGTGAACACTGCAAGCCCAATGAACAATGTGCTATGAAGAATTCTCATTGTGTAAATGATGTGTGTGCATGTCTACCAGGTTGTCAAAATCATAACGGAGATTGTGTATTTGTTAATCGTAAATATCTTCTTATTTTTATAATCATTATAAATGTATCAAATTTATTAATTTTTATTATTTTTTTATCAGCTGGTTTGAATTTGATTCGGATATCATGTCATGAAGATAGTGATTGTTCTGTCATAAAATATGCCGTTTGTTTTGATGGCAATTGTGAATGTAAGTCGAATTATATTCCCCTCGGCCATGATAAGTGTCTAGGTACTATAGGCGAATATTGTAGTTCCGACGCTGAATGTTATTCTTATAAAACTGTTTGTCTCAATAATATATGCCAGTGTTCTGATAAATTTTACGCTTCTAACAAAACTCATTGTGATCCAAGTAAATATCATTATTTATTATTTCTACTACATAATAAAAATAAGAAAATTAATAAGATTAATATTATTTATTTTCAATTATAATTAAATAAAGTTCATCTGGGATTAACATGTAAAAATAATCTGGAGTGCGTAGTGGCGATAAAAAATTCAGAATGTTCCACCAGGGATAAAATATGTGTTTGCAAAAATAAATACTACGCTGTAAATGAATTCGAATGTCTTTCTTTTTTGGATGGAGATTGTTTAAGCAATGATGACTGTCGATTAAATTCCACTATTTGCAAAGACAACAAGTGCAAATGCCAGGATAATTTCAGCGCTATTTCAGAAACTCAATGCAGACCAGGTAATTGATAAGGGATAAATTCAAATACTTGGTAAAATAAATAGATGATAGATAATTGATTAAAATAATTATTCCAGATGATTATTTTTACCCTTGTGATCAAGTATTAGATTGCGGCGATCCATGGCATTATACTTGTAAAGTCGATAAAAAATGTCGTTGCAAAAACAATCATTTTTCAATAAATAGATCAACATGTTCAGCAGGTTTGAAAGGTTATTGCTGGAATGACAGTCAATGTACTATTCATAATTCTACCTGTGTTGATTTTCACTGTAAATGCAATGATAAATTTGTTGCTATTTCTAATAATTTATGTGTACCAGGTATCATCATTAATTTTTTTTATTTATTGAAAATTTTTTTTTATTGTTTACTGAATTTTTATTTTGTTGCAGAGTCTAATTCAAAACGATTCATTTTTTAAAAGGATGAAGAATAATCACGATTTAAACTGTACACGTATATCTTATTATGGATCATTTATTTTCTCAATAAGGATTGGGACGGTAAAAAGGTCTCGAGTTTAAAAAAATGGTTATACATTTTGAAAAATTATTACAAAAGAAGCCGCCAAAATATATGCGAATATAAAATTACACGAATTGAAATAAAAAGTAAGGTGTCTGGTACTCAAGTGCGAGAAATAATCGACAGAACCAGCAATTTTAGGAACATTTCGTCAGAGCCCGTTATAATTTCGTGCTGTTGATGAATTTAATAAAGATTCAAATGTATATCACTGAGTACTTATTACATCTCTGAATATATTTATACTTACCAAGCGATTTAAGTTTCAATTTTTCTTCACAAACACCCAATTTCATCTGAAATATACAAATTGAATTATTCAATAAACTTTTAAATTACGTTTTATTCGCACCTCGTGGCAATTTTTATAAATTTTTCTCTTTCAGGTCAATTAAATGAATTTTATTTTTAAAACCGGAATATAATCAGCTTCAGAGATTAAATAATTTCCATTTGCAAATTTAAAAAAACAATTACGACAAAGAAAGTTTGCAAGCTTTATTTCTGCTGAAATATTATTTCATTTTCACTTAAAAAAAATGAGGATTAAAATAAGACAGTCGTTGACGGTGTTTTTACTGTGGAAAAATAATCGAATGAGACTGTGCTACTGGTGTATATATACTCTGGCGCCAGAAAATTTCTCATCTGAACATTGTCAACCACAACACCGACAATTAACGGGAATTCCAGTTAAATGAATAACGCTCGTGCTACAAACCAACTCACTTGCATAAAACGGTTCGTTATTTCGTTTAATATATATATATATACAAATGCAAATTATGATTTTATTTAACCGTAAAAGTAGTCCTACCGAATTACACCACTAAATTATTGTCATCGTTAATTGGAATATAAATCTTATTATATATCTTCATTATTTTTATCTTAATATGTTACTTTTCAGTGATAAATTTTATTAATTTTTACCTTCTATAATATCGAATATTTTTAAATGGAACTAAATCACTGAATTGACCCTCTGCCGATGCTTAACCTCTAACGGAAGACATATAATTATCGAGTCCCAGAAGCTTATATTGGAATTATCCGATGTTCGATCAATTGCAGATGCATAGTGTGTATGCGAGTAATATGCAGATTATATCCGCGTGAGTCTTTAAAATTTTATTTTTTCACAAAACCATTACTTCAACACTTAAACGGTGAATTATATAATTTTTTTATGCACGTAAAAAAAAAGACACTGAAGTTGACTGACATTAGAAATGTTTTTTATAATTTTAGAGCAATTAAATAATTATGAAAAACTGGGATCTGAATAACTTCATATGATTATGAAAAACATTAAATAAATAAATTCGACTTGTGAAAATTAAAATAACTTGCAACTAATAAAATTTTGCTTTATTAAATAATGACTTTTTTTCCGTCGCCAAGGACCTTTCGGTTTGAGCGACGCTAAATAAATAAATAAAAAAAAAAAAAATAATGACTTTTGTTAAATTGCACGGTATTTTCTTAAATATTGACGTTTTTAAAGATATAAGCTCATCCCGAGGTTACACTTATTAAGAGCTTTCATTTGAGTACCCACATGCACTATTATATATTTTTCATATAGACATATATATAATATATAGAATATATGAAAAATTGATGTGGGTACTCAAATGAAAGGTCTTGATAAGTGTAACATCAGGATGTGCTTATATCTTTAAAAATGTCAATAGTTCACAAGGTAAAAGGTCATTTCTTAATTATCTATCCAGAGATAGAGTATTTTTGAATGCAGCCTAAATACACATTATTATAAATTGACTATTGCTGAGAATAATATGAAACCATGAAAATGCGAAACTCCGGGACAAGACCTTTCCAACGATACCAAATTTAACCATGAAATCCCAGTTTTATCATATAAATACACTGGCCACAAAATTTTGCTTATTCTTTTAATAATATAGATTATTAGTGGAAAATATTTAATGCATTTTTTTATTGCAATTGATTAGTTGTAAAAATGATAAAAATTGACAGCTGTCAGTCAACTTCAGTATCATGTAAAAAACTTAAATTAAATTGACTGAGACCTAAAATTTGTGCTGCAAAATAGAACAATAGTGACAGAATAATAAAATATTTATAAAGTTAATTGAAATGATCCTCCGGCGGTCCAGTCAGTTATAATTTTACGAATATACTTATGGTAAATTGAATTCTCTAGTAAGTATATTGAAGTAATATAACAAACATATAAATATATCGGATAAGGCGCGTTTAAAACTTGACGCGGATTAACTCAACGAAATTGACGTTTCCGGCCGCGCCTATTCTCCAGCGTTATAATCGTGAGCTTGTTCCATCACAAACGGCTCCTTTGGTTAATATTTTGTTTATAAATAAATCTGGTATAATAATAAAAAGTTGTAACTTTGAACGGTATCAAAGATAAAAGATATACATAACTGTTAACTTTATAATATGTGAAAGTTATCAACTAAATATATATAAAACAAATCTGTACAATGAGTAATTGTTAAAAACTGCGGATTATTATTACATTAACGTCATGTAATCTGTCTTGATGTCTAACCACTTAGAATTTTTATCCAGTTTATGTTTAGTTGTAAGTATTATACGCGTGAATTTAAATCAGGATTGTTGTCACTTTCATTGATCAAATATTACATGAAAGATTGTTAATTAACATTAAATACTCGCGTTAATTAATTTAGCTAGGCAAAAAAAAAAACAACAAATAATTGAAATTACTTGGAAACTTTCACTTTTAATAATTACACTAATAGTTTTAAAAATTTAGAAACGAACTGACATATATTTTGCAATTTTTTATTATTATAATTATCATTTATATATTTAGTGAATTTGCCAACTACTCAGTAACGCAAATGTTTAAATAGCTGGATTTAATAACGAATAATGCGCAGACAGAAGAAAATTATGTGACCTGATGACTCCCAGGAGTCGCGACCTTGCAGCGGCTTCACCATCTGCGTATACATATAAATATCTATAAAATATAAAATATAAATATGATTTGTCTGTAACCCGAATTCGCAAATATTTGGTTTATGAGTCGAGTATATACGCTTAGCGGTATATTTAATCCTCCCGAACATTGTACAAATGTTTAACCAATAACTTTGTTTAAACAGGAAGTATCGATGCTAATACATAACATTATTTATTTATTTATTCATTTTTGTTTTATTTAACAAACTTTACATTGTTAGTTATTTTATTACAAATCTAAATTTTTATAATTTATCAAAAAACAAAAATAGAAAAATTATCTATTTTGCTCATAAATTTTAATTTTAATTAAAAACTAAAAATTTTGCAAATTGAAGATGTTTTTTTTTATAATTCTACTAAAACAGATTTTTTCTTGCCCAAATAAATGGAATGTATGCCAAATTCTGTTGTTGCAATAATATATCTTCTATGTTTTGTTTCTGTTAAACTTAGAGCAATTATAGGACTATCACTTACATTTAATTTTCTCACTTCACGAAATTCTAATGGTTGTTCCATTAATTGATAATTATTTTTAATTGAATAAATATGAATTTGTCCTGAAAAAAAAAAAAAATATTATTCTCCATATACACAGAATAAAGGTTCTCTTGAGTTAAGAAAATATATTTCTTCCTGATTATTTTCTTGAGGGAAAAAAAATTTTTTTTGAGAAGAAATTTCGCTTATTCCAACAAAATTAATTCTCTTGCTTTAAGAAATACGGATCTTGATCGAAGAAAATTTATTTAAGTCAAGAAAATCTTGTTGTTTTGAGAAAATTCAGCCTCTTGCTCCAAAAAATTTAGTTCTTGATAGAAGTAAATTTTCTTGTCTTGAGAAAATTTCTCTCTTACTTCAAAAAATTAAATATAAAGATAGAAGTAAATTTTCATTAATATTTTTATTGATTAACATGTCAAATGGAAAGATCAAATAATATTTCATCATTTTTTTTCATTCAATATGTATAATTGCAAGGTGAGAAAATTTTCTTTTCTCAGCTAAAGTAGGTGGCGCTGCTTCCCTAAATTATCTAAAAATCTTGATCAAATATAAAAATTTATTGTATCAAGTATTTATGGTAATTTGAATTAAGAAAAAATTACTTCCGCCAAGAATAAAATTTTAAGAAAAATTTTTACTTCAGCTAACACAACTTCGGTCTTCCTTCAGGCACCCGAAAATTTTCTTAATTTCAAATAAAAATTAATTTTTTACTTTACCTGTGTTTAGTCCAAAAATTAACAAATGTACATGCATGGCAATCGACGTCACAAAAATATCCTCATCATAACGATACAATTCATAATCATAGACAGGAAAGTTTGGCCAATCTTGGAGTATAATCGTGAAAAATTTACCTGAATCCACAAAAATAAATAAAAATCAGTAAGTATAAAAAAAGAAGACTATATTTTTTAATAATTACCATTTTTAAATAGTCTTAATTTTTTATTAGGTATAAGAGCTAAATCAACAGGCGGTCTTCGAGGCATAAGTCGGTAAGGTATGTTACTAATTTTTGTTAATTCAGTACCTCGCGGACCCGGAACTCCAAGAGTAATTACTCGAAGTATTATGTCATAGGTTGTCATAACTATCAACTGAAATAATTATATATATTTCAAAAAATTATTAAAAAAAAAAATTGTCTTTTTAAAAATTACCTTCTTTTTTTCACTGTACATTGTGAGAAAATTATTCCTAGGACCATTGTCATCTTGGAAGACTGCGCAATGTGCTCTGAGAACAACACGATTAGATTTGTACTTGCACTCGGTGATTCCGCGAAAGAATTCGATAAACAGTCGATGAGTAATCCCGACACTGTTAATCAGCCATAACAATCAAAACTTAAACAATGCGATTTTTTATCGTTTTTAGATTATCAATTATCAATAATTACTTACTGGATATTTGTTGCGTTGTAGTGCGGAGTTACAATTGACTTTCTTTGGCTCACGTTCCAAAATTTTAAAGCTCTGTCCCTTGATATCGAAAGAGCCAATAAATTGTTTTTGCCTAGCATAAATTAAAAGTTAATTAATTTATTATAAACATTAAAATTTATTATTATACCTTGATACCAAAACTGGACCTTGGTCAGACTACTTCCGTGTTTTGCTGCCCAGAAGAAATTTTTTGATTTTCCAATTTTGTAAAAAAATATCGAGCCCAGATTTGTTCCAACGGCGATTAAATGCGCTAAAAAAATAAAATTAATCACAATTAATAAATTGTCTTAAAAAAAAGACATTGATTACGATTAATAAGTATCTTACCAAATGTCGTCAAGCATGTAATATTTTCATTTTGTGAAAACTGACTTACATTCAATCGAAAAGAATGTATTTTTCGAGATTTGTCTCCGAAAAGTCTCCAATTTTTATACGAAAAAAATACCTCCTTCCATAAATTTGGTATCAATTTAAGATTAGAAGGTTTTTTAAATGGATATTTTTTAGCTAAAATATTATTTATCCACATTTGCATATCATTTGGAAGCAATCCTTTCCATTCTTTATTTTTTTTCATTTCGATTTCAATTAATTGATTAAAAACACTACAAACTTGACGAAGTTTCACTAATTTCTTGGGATCGTTTATTCGGGAAATAACTTTTTCCCAAATTTCCAGGGGAAGTAATTCTAAAGCACTCATATTTAATGTTTAATCTACAAAAGTATTGTACGGAATGACAAATAATAAATTGCCTGAAAATTTTTAGAATGCTCGGTGTGTTATTCTAGAAATTGTTACAAAACTCTTATCGATAATATAAAGTGAAACAAGTTATTCAATAAATACAGCGTATTATTAAAGTAAAAAAAAAAAATGTAACTGAGAGAATCTAGTGTAAGGTGTGATTATCGTTTAAATTCACTTGGAGTTAACTTGTAAGTTAATAATTTAAAAGTTAATAAGTATTAATCATCGTCTGGCGCCAGGAAGTTTAAAAAAGTCATTAAAATGTTGGGCCTTTATTGATACTGGTGTGTTAATTCGATTGAAGTATAAATGATGAAAATTTAAAATAATAAGAATAGATATTTTATTTAAAAATTTTAAAATGTTGAGATCGCCGTGTCCCAGTGAGGCGTATCACACGCACGCGCGAATAAATGCGATAAGAGAGTACGCAGGAGAGCGTGAAATTGAATTACGACACGCGGGCTTGTGAAGCTGTACATGCGCTTATATATATAATGTAAAGTTATATGTATATAGTAGAGAGACCTCGATCATAATGCATCCCCGCGGTGCGCTGTTTCACACGGATCTTCGAATAAGAATCGAATATATTCAATTGTCGGCGGCATTCGCTTCGCCTCTCAGATATTTATATCTAAAGATTAATAAAAATCCTCGGACGAATTTATATCACGATGAAAGGGTAACGGTATTATTTGAGGATTTTTTTTCAGATACTCAACAGGGTACACGTTAATTATTTAAGAGCCAGATCGAGATCATCCGTTTGATTATTCAATATATTCAATGACTTGGTAAATTTTATATTTTCTAATTAAAAAAAATTTTATTTTAAATAATAATAACTAGCAACCTTGCAGTCATTATGTTATTTTTAAACTAAAAAACATTAAAAATTCGCTTTATTAAATAATGACTTTTGTTAAATTGCACTGTAATTTCTTAAATATTGACGTTTTTAAAGATATAAGCTCATCCCGATGACACACTCATCAAGAGCTTTCATTTGAGTACCCACATGCATTTTGATATATTTTTCATATATACATATATATATATATAATATATATAAATATATAAAATATATGAAAAATTGATGTGACTACTCAAATGAAAGGTCTCGATGAGTGTAATGTCGGGGTGAACTTATATCTTTAAAAATGTCAATAGTTTACAAGATATTTGTTAAATTGTACTGTAATTTCTTAGCTATTGACTTTTTTCAAGATTTAAGCTCATCCCGATATTACACTCATCAAGAGCTTTCATTTGAGTACCCACATGCATTTTGATATATTTTTCATATATACATATATATAATATATATAAATATATAAAATATATGAAAAATTAATGTGGGTACTCAAATGAAAGGTCTCGATGAGTGTAACATCGGGATGAGCTTATATCTTTAAAAATGTCATTAGTTCACAAGATAAAAGGTAATTTCGTAATTATGTATCTAGAAATAGAGTATATTCGAATGCAGCTTAATTATACTTACATTAATCATAATCGATTGACTATATCGGTGAAAGTGAAATGAAACCTTGAAAAGGCACAAATTCAAGTCAAGACTTTTGCAATGATACTAAATTTAACCAAAAAAACCAATTTTATTATATGATTATCCTTGAAACAAAATTTTTCTTATTCTCTTAATAATATAGATAATAATAATACCATAAAATTCTGAAAAATGATTATTATTATTATTATTATCATCATTATTATTATTATTATATTTTTTAAAGATAGTTAATAGAGTTGATATTTATCTATAAAATATAAAGCGGAAATAAAATAAGGGTTTTATAGGCATTGACCTGAGATATATCTAATCACATCAGGAGACTTTGATCGGTCACGAAGTAGAGTAGAGTTAAGTTAGGTGATCGGTGTACGTCCAACAAGAATATATTATAAGACTTTAGCGGTCTGTTAGATCTTAACTAAAAGAGCTTTCAATTATTCTTATGTTAACTCTAACTCTGTACTTATATATTTAAGATTTAAAGTCAACAACCAGGTTATTATCCCTGAGAACTTTTCATTCAACAATAATAACACAATCTATTTTATAAAATTCATCATTATTTATTGTTTTATATTATTGAGTAACAGCTAAAAATTTATGGGACTGTGTAATTTATAAAAAGCATAAAATTATTCACCAGAGAGTTGGAGTACAGTCAAGAATTATAAATAAATATAAATATTGCACACCTCTAGCATTTATTTGTCTACTGTCGCTTGATAATTTTAAAAAAGCTCGGGTGGGTTACTTGCCTTTGGCTCCGCAATTAATACAGCCTTACAAAAATAGTCCTCAAGTAAATCACCGAAGATTGAAATTTAAAAAAATTGTTTTACAAAAAAATAAAAGCTCGGGTGTAAGTGTCGTAATAATTTATGAGTTACTCCGAGCAAAAAAAAAATTGATGCGAGTGAATTGATTAATAAAAAATAAAAAAGATGATCTAAGTGTATTGAGAGCTGGTCGCGTGCCCGGTTTAAAAAGGGAAATTTATGAGGCGCGTCATAACAACGAGCAGAAGACGAACTTGAGGAGCTGACTGTAGAGTATAATGTAACATACATGGGCGGTGATAGTCGTCGCCGTCGTCTCCATCTTGCTCTTCGTCCTCTGTCTCGACTTTGGCTTCTCATCTTTACTTAAATAATAATAACAGTAATAATACCCCGGCATAGTATTATATAGACTTTGTGCATATATATACATATATAGATAGATAATATAAATTTTTTAATACAACACCCACGCGAGAACTATAATATAATCCACGGTAAAAAAATCAAGTCGGGTTAATCTTTGAATTTACGACGACGCCTTCTTATCTTACATCTGGAAATGCTTTTGAGTGTACACCCAACAAACGTTACATTTTAATGTATTAGTGATCTGATTATTATTATTATTATTATTATGTTCAAATTCAAGAAGTACGTAATACAAAAATATCTGGGAGTCATTATTGATGATAATTTAACCTTCAATGATAATGCTTTAAATACTATAAATAAATTAGCAAAAAAAAATTAAATGTTAACTATCGTTTAAATAATGCAATTAGCTCATTTACAAAAAATACTATCTATGAAGTTATTAATTGAGCCATATATTAATTATTGTAGAAATTACTAGATAATATGTAACTCCTGTATTTTGATACACAAAATTATATTGAATTATAAGCCAAATTATTTATGTCAGAAAATAAAAAAGATTGACAGTAAACATAAATATGAAACTAGAAAGAAAAATGATATTTATATAGTATCTACTCGTACTCACTCAGCGGAAAAAAGGATTAGCATATAAGGGTTTCAATTATTATAATCAATTATCAGATTAGATCAAAACAGAGAATATAATAAATATAATATCGACGGTCTAATTAACAATTGGTCTAACTCCGTATTTTTTAGAAGGTGATTTCTTAACATTTTGAAGTAACAATAACAGTCCAATTATAAATTATTTAAATGATCCAAACGAAAATATTATACCTCTATTAGATATTAAATTATTTTTTAAAGTGATAATAAATTTTGAATTGATTGTTTTTTCGCAAAAATGGAAGATTTTTTAAAATTGAGTTAGACAATTTGCTAATTAGAACGTCGATATATACTGTCATTCTAATACGTCGGATCCCACAAAATTTGACATATTGACTTTTTTTTTTAAAATAGAATCATAACAATATTATAGAAGTCCTATTAAAAATTTAAAGGTCAAATAGTTCAATAACTATTTTTAAGTAAATATTTTCATCCGTTGAATCCCATTTAATCAATGTTAAAAATGAACTGTTTTTACCGTCTGGTGTAAAATTTTCTAAATTTGGGATACGATGTATTAATATTAGAATGGCAGTATCGATATTTAAAAGGTTGTTGAAGGAATATGTACTAAAGATGTGAATTTTATATTATTTATTTATTTAACCAGAAAATATTACAGAATATCAATATATAATATAATACATGACATATATGTCCTATAGAGATGCAGAACATCTCGGCTGCCCAATTTCAAAACACAGTAACTAACATTTAAAAATTTGTTTGAATTTTTCTTATTAAAAAAAAGTTTGCCCACCAAATTGATGAAAAATTTGATTTGTGAGTAGAAAATACTTGAATATAAATATTTTTAAGAAAAAATACTTGAAATTGAGGTCTAAAAGTTATAAAAAATGCAGCAATACTAGAAAAAATCAGGTATAAAAATTTTGCAGTTACTGTGTTTTAAAATTGGGCAGCCGATCTGTTCATAGGACTGGTATAAATTAAATTACAATTCACAAAAGCTTAATTATATAATAAATTTCTAGTAGTAGTTTAAAGAAATCATATCACATCGAATTAGCTTTATCTTCAGTAATTTAGTTGCTCCAGTTGACTTGTAATGTTTTTATTGATTTTGGGAAGTGAATCGATTTATTTCTTTAGTATTAAAATCAGTATTTAAAAGTTTCTGCCTGCAATCATTGAAATAAAAAATGAATCAGTTAACAATGAATATGTCGTAAATAGTATAAGTATTGTTATTATACTTAAAATTTATTTAATTATTGTACGAAAGAATAGCGATGGCTAAATGAATAAATATTATTATTATAATTATTACTATTAAAATAAATTTTATTTTATTTATTGATTAGTTTCGGAGCAGAATAAGAGTAGAATTAAATGAAAATGAAGTATAAGATTATCAGAGAATGGTCGGTTATCTTTAGTATCGATCTTACAAGAAACAAGAAGCTATTCTGGCCATTATGTGCCTTTTACGTTTGATCGAGGATCCACAGTACAGACTACGTATAGCTACGGGGAATAATAATTATCATGCTGTTGCCGGTAGCCGGTAGCCAGTAGCCGGTAGCCAGACCCTTTTGCTTCTCGCACTATCGAATACCTTA